ACACACACACACACACACACACACACACACAAATTAGAAAAGACATTAAAGAATAACAATACATCTACCATAGCCAAGATATGTAAGAGACAAGTTATTTGGTCTCTTGAAAATGTTGCTGTAATTATAAAAATATTCTGCAAAATAGGTCAATCCTATATAGCTGCTTAAAGTTAAGTTCTCTGATAGTTGTGTCTGATTTTGAGCTGGTAGTGATTCCATTATGTTCATTTGATCTTTTGGAGTTCTGACTTCTGAAATTAGTTGCATTTTCCATATATATAACAACATGATCAACTCAAGCTTGAACACATAATTATTTTAAAATAAAATTTATATGATCAAGCTTAGTGGTGTATGTCACAAAACTCTATACATATTTTTAAGAATAAAGTCTATTATAGAATACTTTTCTGAATATGTGCGAGCAAAATGATATAGTTTATAGTTTTACCTTTTTTGGGATCAGCTACAAAGCTACTTGCAAAGAATTTTCAGTTCAATAGTGAACTGAATGTATGAAAAGGAAAGTGGACTGTTTATATCCTTCTAAAGATGTACCATATAGAACTTTGAATATCTGTATTTTTAAAATAGCGAAATTTAGTGTTTTGTTTCTCTCCATTTTCATTGTAGGCTCCCCCAAAATATACAAAGTCAATTCTGAAAAAGGGAGATAAAACTAACTTTCCAAAAAAGGGTGATATTGTTCATTGTTGGTATACAGGCAAGCTGCAAGATGGAACTGTTTTTGACACTAATATTCAGTCAAGTAAGTGCTTAGATAGCTTTAAAAAAAAAAGCTGGCGAAGTTTTTAAAGAAGTTTTTAAAGTGGTCCTTACTGAAGGCAAGGTAATGGGAGCTGCAGTGTCTCTCAAACAATAAATTGGAGCTGAGTAAGACTGTAAATGTTCTACATTTAGCATTTGTTCAAGCCATGTTGGAAAAAAGATGGAAAAACTTTTTTAAAGTGTTTTATTCCACTATTTTTATAAGTAAAATTCAAGGTGGCACACACCTGATATTCTCTCCTATTTTCACGACAGCAACCATGTAAGAGAATTGGGCTAAGAAAGAGTGGTCCAAAATCACTGTTGGCTTTCATAACTAATGTAGTATTAGAACTGAGTTTCCTGATTTTTAGCCTGGTGCCTTAACAATCTACAGCAGGCTTTAGACTTTACTAGAAATCTTGTGAATCAAGTCTGATCTTCCTTAGTGTATTTTGTACCCAGAAAGGAGAAAGATGCAAATACTCTGTTAAGATTTGAAATTAGTAAGCATTCCCTGTTAAACTGAGTTTGCAACCAAATCTATTTTTCAGGTTCAAAGAAAAAAAAAGCATCTAAACCACTGAGCTTCAAAGTTGGTGTCGGAAAAGTGATTCGAGGTGTAAGTGTGCTAATGTGGGTGACTGAGTGTATCAAGTTCTCATACCCTTTCATTATTAGAAAATAGTTTTGGCTCTGCAGCTGTTCAGCCATCTGTTTCTTTCAGTAAGAGGAGGCATATATGATCCCATGAGCCCTTTAGATTCTTCTATCCTTCCAGGAATGAGAACACCATTGAATGTCTGCCCATACATTTTCTGCAGATCTTGGACCAGTGTCCAACTGTCAGAGGTTTTGGAAGAGGGCTATGTATCATACATATATACATCACATGCATCATGTATATCATGTTTGCAGATGTCACTTCTGATGCTTTTCTTAGTTCTAGTTTTGGGTTGTAGGAAGATTGTTTACTAATTCTGCATCTCTACCAAGACAAGAGACTGCAATCTTCAGGTCTGTAGATCTGTATTTGTGACCTGTGATATTGCGGTCTCTGGGTCCAATTAATCGAGTCCAATCTACTTAATTTTCAGAGGAATTTTGTAGGCCTGATGAAAGTATCTTGTACTATTTCTAAATAATATCTAAATGTGTTGTGTGGAAAATGTTAACAGAAAGGCTTCAAGCAGCAGTGGAGAATGAAAAAGGCTTTTTATCTGACCTTATTGATACTGTAACCAGAACAAGTTTCTTTTCTATTTTTCAGTGGGATGAAGCCTTACTGACAATGAGCAAAGGAGAAAAGGCTAATTTGGAAATTGAGCCAGAATGGGCTTATGGGAAGAAAGGACAACCCGATGCAAAGTATCCTGCTAACATTTCTCATTATGTAAATTGCAAAAACCATTTTTCCTATACAATAGAGATTGAGAAAATTCCCCCACCATTTTACAGTATTGCAGAAGTCCCCATTGTTGTCCATAATATTAAGTATCTTAATTGACATCAGTGGGATGGATCTTCATTGACATATCTCTCATTGTGAAAGAACTGGAAAGATTTCTCAGGGGTGGGGAGGTAAGGAGAGACAGAATAAGGCAAAATTCAAGTGGTAATCTTCAGTATTCTCATCTAATATTGGATGCAAAGCAGAAAGGGGGAAAACTTGTTGCCTGATTTTTATCACTAAGTTATCTTTAATTGTCTACAGTAATGATTTGACTGGGGAGAGGGAGGGAAGACTCCTTAAATTGAAGCATCTAAGGATTAAAAGGTAGAAAAGGAAAAATGGGACATTGGTGGGTGGAATTTCATGCTTACATCTAAAGGGACATTGCTTACACAATGTCTAGGTACTTTTCATTTATGAGCATTCATTACAGGTAGTCTTCAACTTGGGACAATTGAGCCAAAATTTGTTAAGTCCATTCTATGACTTTTCTTGCCATGGTGGTTAAGTGAATCACTGTAGTTATTAGTCAACTGGTGTTAAGTGAATCTGGCTTCCCTGTTGACTTTGCTTGTCAGAAGGTTGCAAAACGGGATCATGACCTCGGGACATTGCAGCCATCATAAATGAGCCAATTGCCAAATGTCTAAATTTTGATCATGTGACCATGGGGATGCTACAATGGCTGGAAGTGTGAAAAATGGTCATAAGTCACTTTTTTCAGTGCCTTCGTAACTTTGAACAGTCACAAAATTGACTATTGTTAAGTCAAGGACTACCTGTACATGGTTGCCAAAGTTCCCATCTGAGTTAAACACTGAGCAAAAATAACTTGCAACTTAGAAAACATTACACCAGCTTTTCGAGTATAGATACATTTGCAACCACAATCTACTATATAAGAATTTCCTTAACTTCTATTTCAGGATTCCACCCAATGCAAAGCTTTTCTTTGAAATTGAATTAGTAGATATTGAATGATATATTGTCTCCTCTTCAGTCTTGAATATTTGTGAAGACACAGTACTTCCAATTTCAGGGAAATGCAAATGTGGCCTTTTATCAGATGGAGGAATCAAGATTCTTACTGCAATTATAGTACAATGTCTGTATTACTAAAAACTACTTTATATGTGACTTTGACTGATGTTTTGTAGCAAGGACTTGAAGAAAATTCTCCATTTAAGTATTTTGTGTTGTCTATGGAAAGACATTTTAAGATCAGGGTTCCTGATTTGCTGCGTTAAAATTTCTATCCCTTTCAGCCCAAATAACCACATTTTGCTAATCTATTTTAGTCTACACAAAGAATGGGAGATTGTATGTTTAAATCAGTTATCTTAATCTTGCAGGCATACAGTATTGGAATAGCAGGGCGTAGGGTGGTTAATTCAGCTGGACAATATATATCCAAGTCAGATGTACACCATGCTGTATTTCAGCAAGGATGTTCTTATTTTGAAAGCAGATTAATGTAAGAAAAGAGCACAGTTAAGAATTTTTGGACCAAATATGCACCTTGGCTTTTGCAACGCATTGTAATACAACTGCCTTACATGCAAAGTTTCAAAATCAACGCATAAAGGAAACATGGAACCGAATAGCAGTATAGGTAAAACCATCAGAAAGAAACTATGTTCCAAAATAAATTTGATAAACAGACCCCTAAGGAAAAGCTACTGTTCAGAAAAGTTACACAATTTGATTTTATTACAAAAGGGCATTTTAAACAAAAAACTAAACCTACACATGAAAATTCCAATACAAAATCCATCCTAAGACAGAACATGGTTCTAGTAACACACTTCATTTTAGTCACTCAAAGAGATACCCTATACATTATGCATCCTCATCAGTTAACATTTTTCTAAAAGCAGCTTTTGGGTGCTGCAATTGTAAACTGGTAAAAAAAAACCAAACAGATGGAGGAAAAGAGATACGGAACTTTGAAAATATTCAAGCACATTTTACTGCAGAAGAAAAGGAAAGTATCTCCTGGCTTGGATAATGTCTGAGATTGCTGGGGTAAACGTTGGTATTAATACATGTTAATTGTTGCAAATTAACTTTCCCAATGAATCATCACTACTTCATATAATAATTTGATAATTTTACTATTGAGAAAGTTAATAGCTCAGTAGCTATAGAATACAGCAAGATACCAATGAGTTTGTCACAAGAAAAATGTGAAAATCAACTCATCATACATGCAAAAAAGACAATCACGTGACAGTTTGTTCACATCCCTATTTCTCTTTTACAAAAGAAAAGCGTTAAAACATTGTGAAACTCCGTTTGTCATTAAATTGTTCTGCTCAGGTTGAAGATGACTGATAATATTGTCCATAATTCCATGCATTTGAGTAATTGTACTAAAAAGGAAAAAAAATAAGAGAAAATTAATACCCTCTATAGTTAATGGGGTAAACTCCAGTACTACCCAGTATGAAGCAGCTAACAATTATTAAAATAACTTGAAAACTAAAATTCTCAAGGTGTAAAATACACAGCCCTTTCTTAATCAAATTTGAGAGTTGATAACTCACTTGATAAAGCTGATGTCAAAGCAGTTCCAGCTGCCATTGTTAACTGAATTGTGCAGTCACAGTATCCCAGGATTCCCATATGTGACCTGTCAGTTTGCCCATTGAGTTTGTTGGAAACTGGCAGTGAAAATTGCAAATGGCAATCACATGACCTTGGAATGCTTCAGCCGTGGTAAATGCATGCTAGTTGTCATATGTCCAAAGTACAACCAGAAGGAATGGTTTTAAGTCCCTCCATTCAGAATTGTTTTGAAAGGTTGCTGAATGAGATTACTCATGCAAGATTATTACAACTGGGCTGTAAATCTCCAGGGAGCCATAGATGGCAGCCATGTGATACAAACCCTCTGTTGCCATCTACTGGTCATACATATTTTTGCATGCTGGATTTGGGAGCTCTCAATTATTGTAAAGCCTGTACTAAGGTATACAGACCCACTCATGTAGTATAAGATGGGCTACATTTTTAAAATTAAATACCGTATTTATCGGCGTATAACACGCACTTTTTCCCCCTGAAAATAGGGGGCAAATGATGTATGCGTGTTATACGCTGATGTCCAGGGAGCGGAATCCTCTTTAAGGGATCCCATTCCCAATAGTGCCTAGTGGCGGCGCAGCGTCGTGACGTGATGTCAGCGCTGCGCCCGCCGCATTTTTTTTCCTGAAATTTCCCTCTTAAAGGGTATGCGTGTTATACGCCTGTGCGTGTTATACGCCGATAAATACGGTAACTTCAGTTGAGAGGAAACAGGCAGAATTTTAAGTATTTAGTCCAAAAACCTCCGGATAAATGATGCTCACCTGATACCAGGCATTGTAGTTGTAGGCTGCCTGATTTGCTTGCATATCCCCATCTGCTGCTTGTCCAGACATTGCTTCATCACTGTGAATTCGTTTTTCATCTGGTTCTTCACAACTGCAAAAATAGTTTGTGTCACTTCTTTATGAAGCAAGACCCTTGCAGAAATTTTTGATTTTTTTCTACCAATAACTATGAGGAAATGTTATACTTTCCTGCATGCTGAACTTGCCCATACATTTCCTATCCTATTGTAAACTCTGAAAAGCACACTTTTAAACAAAATGTAATCTCTCAGCAGTGGGTGCCAAATGCGGAGTTCATCACTTAAGCCTTTTTCAGGGCCCTTCCTGCAATCTTGAGTAGAAAGATGGTGACTGTGTTTTTAGGCAGGTTTATTTGGCACAACATTCAAAGTTTCCAGAGTGCTACGGCATTACTGAATAATGAATTTTAAACTGAAGACTGGAATTCAATATACCACTTTACACATAAAGTTTGTACATTAAATATGTCATGCAACATTTAAAGTCTTAAACGGATGCATGGGTCAAAACAAATTTTCCTTAGTTTTCTTCAAGACAATAGATCATTATTACCAATTCAGTTGAAGAAATTATGGGAGGCCTTTTGAGCTTCCTGTTTAATCTTAAATGACATCTGTAAACAAGTCCCAATTATTTTTTTCCTTCAACAGAATTAAAGATTGCTTATGTAAAGGGCATGCAAACATATTTTAGTACTGCTGCCTATAAATTATTTACTTAATTAAGTAAAAAGTATATTTAAAATGTGAATTGTTCTATTCATATCAAAAATGATTATAACAATCTATGATCACATCAAGGAAAAGTATTTTTCTTGCTCTTGTTTTCTGGAAATATGATATAGTTCTTGACTTGCAACAGGTCACTTAGGGAGCAGCCAAAGTTCCGCGGGACCTACTTACGGACTATTTACAACCTAGATTCAAAGTTCTGACAGCACCCCATAACTGTGGTCAGTTGACTACACTTTGGATGCTGGGCAACCAGCCTACATTTACAACCATTTGCAGTGCCTGCAATCGTACATTTTATAGCAGCTTTTGTCAAAAACCAGCATATCCGGTTTTCAGCAAGACCACACCATAGCAAACCAATGATTAGTTTTAATGATTGCTGCAAGAAAAAAATCATCTGGTTGTTTATGTGACCAACTTGTTTTATAACTATCACCAAGTTATGACCATGCTCAAGGACCACCTGTGCACAATTCCTCTCAATATATAATTAATTTACATTTAATCAGCTCGGACATGTACTAACATTAGTAAGGGTTCAAAAATATAACAGTAAATAACAGTTATATTTAAAAAAAACAATCCAGTACTTGTAGCTAGAAAGAAAATATGTGTACCCATTCTCTGCTTTTCTTTTTAAACATTCTTGTTCCTTTAGAAGGGCTTGATGTTCTTCATAAGCATCTAAAAGTCTACCAAAAGAAAAAAGGAAAACTATGAGATTCCTACACCAAACATACTCTGCAACAAATGTAACTCCCGACACTGGTTCCACTTTGTCAATAATAGCTGGTTTTTGAAAGTACTATTA